TGAGGGAGGAGGAGGTCCTGTCTGAGGGGGGAGGAGGTCCTGTCTGAGGGGGGAGGAGGTCCTGTCTGAGGGGGGAGGAGGTCCCTGTCTGAGGGGAGAAGAGGTCCTGTCTGAGGGGGGAGGAGGTCCCTGTCTGAGGGGAGAAGAGGTCCTGCCTGAGGGGGGAGGAGGTCCCTGTCTGAGGGGAGAGGAGGTCCTGTCTGAGGGAGGAGGAGGTCCCTGTCTGAGGGAGGAGAAGGTCCCTGTCTGAAGAGGGAGGAGGCCTTCAGATGAGGTGCTAGTTGATCCAGGTCAGAGGGAAAGAGAAGGACCTAGTCTAACGGGGGAGGATTCCTTGCCTGACGGCAAAGGAGTTTTCTTCCTGGGACAGTCATCCTAGTCCTTCCCCCATCAGTCTGAAGTTGGACATTGCCAGTGACCAGGACATCTGTAACCTGAGGGAAAGTTCTAGATGATGGAGTTTGTCACTCTGGTTGCCAATAGGAAGACAAAGATGGATTCTAAGCTTGCCTTTGACAAAGAAAATGAATTTATGTTGCCTTCCAAAGAGAGGTGTCTACCTAGATGCCTATCAACATTCATTCATTCATTCATCATTCATTCAGTTCTAGATAAGACAAAACAGGTACATTCTTGAAACTTTACATCTCAGGTCAAATACATCTTATGCAAAGCCAGGAGATTTTTTTCTTATAATAAGCTCAGTTAACCAAAACTGGAATGGTCTTCACCACGCAGTGGCATTTACAGAATTGACAGGAGTCCTAACTGCCATTTGCTGAAATGCTTTGAGCCCAGTGTGGCCTGATCTCTCCTTTTCTTAAATATCTTTTGCTGGTCTTAATCAGAGAAATACCCTCCACGAGGATGGGCATTGTCAAAACTGAATGTCTAGAGGGTGCTCTTCAGACAGCCTAGAACCTTCATGAGGGTCACCTTAGCAAGTTCACAGTCATTGTAACCTGTCCAGATTTCTCTTCTTAACCATTATGTGCAAAATGGTCATTGCTTTGGTGATGGTTCTAATAAGCCTTTGGAACATTGCTTGGGTACCTCCTGTCATCTTCATGGGAGACTGGAAATTGTGTTGATCTAATTGGGTTCCAAGAGCGAAGGCAATGTGAGCGGCTCTTGAAATTGAGGGAAATTACATTATCAATTACAAGATGAAAAGTACCAAAAGAGAATACCTTTGCTTAAAAACTAAGGAATATTGGGGAAACTCACAGCGGCAGGCTGGCAGACCAAAGTAAAAATAATCATCTCATCTCCTTTTATTTTTTTCTTGAAACACTCTCAAAATTACAGAAAAATTTGAAATACAGATAAAAAACATTTTCCCCCTGAATTGTTTAATGCCCCAACACCCACCAATAGTTTAGTGTGGATTTTCTAGAAGCAAAGATAATCTCCTACAAAACCACAGCGCAACCACCAGAATTAGGACATTAAGGTTGATTCATTACCACCAGCAAATCCTCAGACCCCATTCAAGTTTCGCCAGGTTTTTTTTTTTTTTTTTTTTCCCCAATCCTGTATAGGAAAAGTGTCTAGTCCAGAATCCCAGTTTGCATTTACTGGCGGGGTCTCTCTAGTCTCCCTGAATCTGTCCAATCCCTAGCAGTACCTCTGTCTTTCTGTGACTTTCATGTTCTTGACGTGTATTAAGTATACAGGCCAGATATTTTGGGATTGTCCCACAATTTGGGTCTGTTTTATGTTTCTTCATGATCACATTCAGGTTTTGCATTTTTGGCGATACTGTCATAGAAGAGATATTATGTGACTGGGCTCCCGAAAGTCATCATGCGGCCATGGGTGTGTTTCGCTGCTAGGAACCCCTCCAGGGCTGTAGAGATGAGTATTTAAGGGTGCAGTGGGGAAAGTGGGTCTGTTCTAAACCCGGATTGTCCCCCCACTCCTTCACAGGTGACCTGGATGAAGATATAATCCCAGAAGAGGACATCATTTCCCGAAGCCAGTTCCCTGAGAGTTGGCTGTGGACCATTGAGGAATTAAAAGAACCAGAGAAAAATGGGTAAAACTAGGACACCCCCTGTTTTAACCCACCTCCAGGCCAGCTCCTGTCAACACACCGGATCAGGGGTCCGGCCCCGTTGCCTAGTGGTTAAGTTCAGTGCAATTCGCTTTGGCGGCCCAGGTTCACGGGTTCGGATCCCAGGCACATGGACCTACACCACTCACCAACCATGCTGTGGCAGCAACCCACATACAACATAGAGGAAGATTGGCACAGATGTTAGCTCAGGACTAATTTTCCTCAAGCAAAAAAAGAGGAAGGTTGGCCACAGATGTTGGCTCACGGTGAATCTTCCTTAGGAAAAAAAAAAAAACCCAGATCAGACCATTTAATTTGCATGCACCTCCAATCCCCCATCTTTTCTGTGGAACACAGTCTAGCCTAGAAAAAACAGGAATTGGGCTACCTACGTGTGCCCCACTCCAACCGGTCCTTTAGGGCCCCTCCATACCAGCTCTCCCCCTCCACCCTGCTAGATGCCTTCTGCTGATGCCCCCTCTTCTACCCCATCCAGAATCTCCACCAAGATCATGAACGTGTTTTTGAAAGACTCCATCACCACCTGGGAGATTCTGGCTGTGAGCTTGTCAGACAAGAAAGGTGAGGGAAGATGGTGGCCCCGTCCACAGGAGGCAGGACCCCAGGGCTCCTGGGCATTTTCTCATCCCATCCAAAAGCCTCTGTTGCCTGGTGGCTTGTACCTTGTCCCCTGGTTACTGGAGGGGCGTCAGAGTCTAGACTGTGGGTGACGTAGTCAGCGCTTTTTGTAAACAGATTTTATTTGTAGAGCAGTTTTAGTTTCACAGCACAATTGAGTGGAAAGTACGGAGATTTCCCACATACTCCCTGCCCACCCCCTCACACGCACAGCTTCCCCCACTCTCCACATCCCACACAATCGACGAACCACATGGACATGTCCTTATCACCCCAAATTCATACTTAACATGAGGGTTCACTTGGTGTCGTACATTCTATGGATTTGGACAAACGTATAATGACATGTATCCACCATTACTGTATCATACAGAATAATTTGCAGCAGCAAAAACTTTTTTCAATGAGTGTGAGCCATTATTGTTATTATTATTGGAGTCAAACATTTTAGAGATCAAAGGGTAGATGCCTTTTGGAGATGCATAGACACTTCCTTAAATAATACAAATCATGCATCAGACTCATTCCTTTTTTTAATTAATAGTTTATTAAACAGTCTTAGGTTTACAGAAACAATTGAGCAACGAGTACAGAGAATTGCCACACACCCCTCACTTTCCCAAAATTCCCGTCTTCAACTCCTGTTTGCATTAATGTGGTTGGGCCCTTGGTTACAATCAATGGGCCGATCTTGATATGTTATGATTAACTGGAGGCTACAGTTTAGGGTTCACTCTTGGTGTTACATTCTGTGGGTTTAGACAAATGTATCACAACACGTAGTCACCATTACAGTATCACACAGAATAATTGTATCTCTGCCTTAAAATTGACACAAATTGGGTGTCAGAACTCAATGCTTTTTAGTTTTCTTTCCATCGTTCTACCTCATTCCAGAAGAAAAGCTAAGTCTGGTGCCAGGATTCCATCACCTCCTCTCCAATTCTTGTTTAACTCCTTTCTTTAAACAAAGAGGGGGGAAGGGGTCTAGCTTTCTGCAGACAATGCAAATTAGCCAATATTTAACAAAACTCTTTTGTTTTCCTTGGGGTAACTTCCTATTTATGGCACAAGAAGCTGGATATCTCGTGTACTGTAGTCATACCACATTAAATGTGAGTTTAAAAAATGTGAAAACAAATAGTAGGTAAGAAAGGTAAATAGCACCAGTGACTACAGCAGACTCCCTGAGGGTGATGAGTAAAGGGCTATAGGTTGGAAAATAAGGATTTTGTTCAAGCCTCTGATTATTTTTTTTTTCACCATTGAAGAATAAGCAAAAAAAAATTATTAAATCTTAATAGATTTCTTAGTGTGACAATATTTTTAATGTGGTAGCGTTTTTGCAAATTTCACTTGCATCAAAATTTTGCTCAAATTTGATCTGATAACTATTGTGTCACAAGTAACCATGTTTTTAGCATCATTTTTGCTCAGTGTAGATCGGCACTGTGCAATAAAAATCTTATGTGAGCCACATACGTCATTTAAATTTTCTGGTAGAACCATAAAAAAAAGTAGGTAAAATCAATTTTAGTAATGCATTTTACTTAACCCAAATATATTATTTTACATTTATATACTTACTTGACCCATAATATTATTGTTTTGAGATTTGGTAAAAATTTGCAAAACCACTACAATACTAATAATAATGTTACAATAATAAATCCATTAATAGTCAAGAATAATCTACTAATATATCAAAATCATGAATGATATATTTTACTTTTATTTCTACCAAGCCTTTGAAATCTGGCATGTATTTCATACTTACAGGGCACGTCAATTAGGATTTCTATCTTGTCCTTGGAAATACTTTGATCTGTATCTTAGGATTTGTAAAATTCATAGTTGAAAAGATAGATTGGCATATCCAATCTGTTCCAAACATACTTAAAAGTTTTCCAATCGCTGAGTCAAGCATCATTTTAAAAATTGAGATATAACTCACATACCATAAAGGTCACCCTTTGAACAATTTAGTGGGTTTTAGTATATTCATAATGAATAGTGGTTTTTAAGTTTAATTCTGAGTTAATTAAATGAAATAAAAGAAGGAGTCCAGTGCCCACTCGAGCTAGCCACATTTCAAGTGCCCAGTGACCACAAGGGACTTGAGGCTACCATTCTAGAGAGTGCAGATATGGACCCTTCAATTATGGCTTCTTCCCTCCTGCACATCTATCTTGGAGTAAAATTACAAAGAAATGAGAATCACTAAATCATGGCAACTCCCAGCCCCCACCACCATCTGTAATTTATCACCATTAGCATTGTTTAGTCTCTGGGCTTCTGCAAAGACAGGCCAGGCTTGGGACAGCTCCTGTGGTCAGGGGTAAGCACTGAGACCCTGGGAGGGGCAGGAACTTGGACTCAAACTTGGACCTTGTCGACCCTGCCCACCTGCCACCACTGACACTCCATGTTCCGTTTCTCCCCGGGCAGGGATCTGCGTGGCTGACCCCTATGAGGTCACAGTGATGCAAGACTTCTTCATTGACCTGCGGCTACCCTACTCCGTTGTGCGCAATGAGCAAGTGGAGATCCGAGCTGTTCTCTACAACTACCGGGAGGCGGAGGAGCTCAAGGTGAGCTCTGGGATGGAGGGGGCACGGTGGGGGGAATGGAGGGGGGAAGTGTGGCACACGCCCCTGACCCATACTCTCTGCCTCCTGCAGGTGAGGGTGGAACTCCTCCACAATCCAGCCTTCTGCAGCCTGGCCACCGCCAAGAGGCGCCACCAGCAGACTGTGACCATCCCGCCCAAGTCCTCGCTGGCTGTGCCTTATGTCATTGTGCCCTTGAAGATTGGCCTACAGGAGGTGGAGGTCAAGGCTGCTGTCTATCACCACTTCATCAGCGATGGTGTCAAGAAGACCCTGAAGGTCGTGGTGAGTCTTTGGGGCACCTGCTGCCCCTTGTCCTTCAGGAAAGGCTCCTGTCCTCCCTGTGCTGTCAACCCAGTTTGGAGACCCAGGCTCTGAGACCTGAAGGGTGTCCACTGTCCAGCACGGGAAATTTAGGAGTCCTAGAAGTTCAGAAGCAGGGCCAGGATGAGGGTGAGCCAAGTGAGGCACTCACCTCGGGCACAGAATTTTAAAGGGTGCCCAAAAGCTCAGTAATAAAGACCAATAATATATTTTTTCCTTAAAATATATTTTAATATTAAATATGACATTTTGTAACACATTTCAGTATAGGAGTTTTCTTTTGACTTTAAAAATCTCAAGGAAACATATTTCCCAGAATAATTTTATAAAGCGATAATATACCATGCAAGAACATAGGAAACTTCTGTTTTTACCTATGATTTTTACCCTGAAAAGGTACATTAACTTATTTTACCCTTAAAAAGTAATTAAAAGTAAATTAACTATTGCCCACAGTGTGGAACACGTTCAAAAATAATGAGATAAAATCATCAATAAAAAGGAGTCTTTTATCACCTCTTATTAATATTTTAAAGCAAGATGTGAGATCATGAACAAGATCAATAATATTTCAATGCAATATTTCAGGAAATCAAAATTAATGGCAAAAATATCTGTGATGAACAAAATATCAAAATTTTAAACAGAGACAGGATCTGACAGTATCAAACCAAGGAATCCTGGAGCATGAAGCAAAAGGAAAAATGAGCGCCCCCGTAGATGTGCCTATGTGTATTTTTTGTGTGTGTGTGAGGAAGATCAGCCCTGAGCTAACATCCATGCTAATCCTCCTCTTTTTGCTGAGGAAGACCGGCTCTGAGCTAACATCTATTGCCAATCCTCCTCCCTTTTTTTTCCCCAAAGCCCCAGTAGATAGTTGTATGTCACAGTTGCACATCCTTCTAGTTGTTGTATGTGGGACGCGGCCTCAGCATGGCCGGAGAAGCGGTGCGTTGGTGCACGCCGGGATCCGAACCCGGGCCGCCAGTAGCAGAGCGCACACACTTAACCGCTAAGCCATGGGGCCGGCCTCGCCTATGTGTATTTTTTAATGCTTAATTTTTCCCCAAAATGTTAAAGTAGTTGAGAAAAATACTGAAACACTGAAAGCCAAATGTATTAAAACTGACAGTGTAATTTTACATTGAAATGTTTTATTTATACCCAAACCAGAATTTACTATAATTTTCCCTTCCTGGCTTTAAGGGAAGCAAACTCATATTTTTTCAACTACGTTAATGTTCTGGAAGAAAATTAGCCATTAAAAAATACCTAAAAATGTATTTTTAGGGGCACATGTTTTTCCTTTTGCCTCTGGCTCCAATTTGGCTCAGCATGGCACTGGTGGGGAGAAAGCCCAGCACTGTGCTAGAGCCTGCATGGCCCAGCTCCCAAGAGCCAGTGTGCCCACTACTTCCCAATTCTGCACTCACTCTCACTGGTAGCTTGAAATCCATCATGGCGGAGATATTTATACCATGGAAATTGGCAGTGCCACAAATCAGCATCTTTTCTTCCTGCAAAGCTGGATGTTAAATATTTACCAGCATGCCAGTGGAGGAAATTCAGTCTGCAAAGGAAAGTTTGGGCCTTATTACCAGATGAAAGGAGAATAGGTTCTGGGAAGGCAAAAACAGCTGCTGTCCACCATGGAGGCTTATCCGTAGACACATGAGAGCTTGAGTTGGGCCTTTGATACTAATTAAGATAGCTCCAGTTTTAATTGAGTGCTTACTATATGCTAGGCTCTGTGCTAAGTATTTATGCACATTCTTTTATTTATTTTATTTATTTTTATTATTATTTACTTATTACTTACTATTTGTTTCCATTTTACTTTTTAAATTTCTCTTATTTTTAAAATTTCTCTTATTTTTAAATTTATTTTATTTTAAAAATTTATTTTCTTTTATTCTATTCATCCCATTGAGAAGCAGTGGGTTAAAAACAGACTCTGGAGCCAGACTATAAGGTTCAAACCCCAGTTCTGTTCTACTAGCTGTGTGACCTTGGGCAAGTTACTTCACCTCTCTGTACTGGTTTCCCCATCTTTAAAATGGGAGTCATATGCGCAGAACCCACCCCACCGGGTTGTTGTTGTGGAAATTAATAAAAGAAACTGTAACTATATTGGAGTCAGGAAGGCCTGTATGGGGAGCTCTCATGGCTCCCAGTCACACAGCTAAGACAGGGTGAATGCCATCATGCCTCTGCTACAGTAATCCCCAGGACAACAGTGCCCTGCTGACCAGCTGTCTGTCTGTCTGTCCCTTCATTCACCCAACCCCTCCTTCCCCCAACACCATCCAGCCGGAAGGAATCAGAGTCAACAAAACCGTGGCCATTCGCACACTGGATCCAGAACACAAGGGCCAAAGTGAGTCAGCCACTGGACAGGGGGTGGGACCTGGGGGGTGGTGCAGGGTGTGGTGGGAGGGGGCTGGTGCCATTGGGGTCTCCCATTCATCTGGCAGATGGAGTGCAGCGAGAAGAAGTCCCTGCTGCAGACCTCAGCAACCAAGTCCCAGACACAGAGTCAGAGACCAAGATCCTCCTGCAAGGTGAGATGCTCTTGGCCCTGAGCACATGGGGCCCAGGAAGGTGTCAGGGGGGCTGTGACCCCCTGAAGAAAACCCAATTCCTTCTATTCTGGGGATGTTTAACCATCGCGCCTCCCTCCTACACTTCAGCTAGAACAACTCCTCCCTGATTTGTTTTATAAAAGCCTCCAGGCAGTATTTAGTTCAGCAAATAGCTTTCACTGATGAAGACATTTAAATGAGAAACTGTGTAGTTTGACAGCAGAAATTCTGGAACCAATTGCCCAGGAAGGAGGACTGGGGCAAGAAGGGACAAGAAGGAGCTCGAAAGGCACCTTGCAACCTGTGAGCTGTAAGGTTTTGAGGAGAGACCCTTGGTTTCCTCATCTGTGATGGGGGAGAATAATAGTATCTATATCTAAGGTTGTTGGGAGGATTAAATGAGATACTATATGGTGTTCTCTTAGAACAGAGCCTGGCAAATAGCATTAAGCACATATTAGTAGTCATGACTATTGTTACTGGAGTTAATTTACCACTGGTGTCACAAGAGGACCCAGGACTGGAGTGCCCCTGTGAAGCACAAGCCCTCACCCCCACAAAGGCAGACCTCCCCCCCTCCAGCCACTGAGTCATACAGCTCTGCCTGCTATCACATGCCCCCCAGCTGTCTCTGACCCCTTGGCCCTCGCTGGTCGGAGCCTGAGAACAGTGGGGGCAGCCCCGACCCTCCCATCCCACCCCACACCATGGTGGGTCACCTGGCCTGAGTGCCGACCTCCCGCCCGGCTGCAGGGACCCCAGTGGCCCAGATGGCAGAAGACGCTGTCGAAGGGGAGCGTTTGAAGCACCTCATTGTGACCCCCTCGGGCTGCGGGGAGCAGAACATGATGGGCATGACACCCACGGTCATCGCAGTGCATTACCTGGACCACACCGAGCAGTGGGAGAAGTTCGGTCTGGAGAAGCGACGGGAGGCCTTGGAGCTCATCAAAAAGGGTATGTGCCCCCGCGCCTCTTAGAGACACAACCCACCTGCTCCCTCTTTGAGCTTTACCTTCCCTGAGACTCTGCCTCCTATCGAGGGTCCGCCCTTCTCTGAGACCCCCTGACCCCTTTGAGCCCCCTCTCGGAGCTCCTTCCCCCACTGAGGCCCTTGCCCCCAAACCCCCTTGAGGACCCTCCACTCTCTGAACCCCGTCTCCTCTGAGAACTCCTTCCCCTCCCTTTCTCTGGTCCCTAACCCCATCTAAGTCCTACCCCCCTTTAAGCTCCCCTCCCTACCAGACATCCCTCCCCTGCCCTGAGCCCCCTCTTTCCTCTCTGAACCCCTGTCCCCCCCCCATAGAATCCTTGAACCTCTCTAAACCCCTTGTCCCCTGCCTGGCGACACACCAGCCACACCCTCCACTCAGCCCCTGTTCCTCTGGCGACATTTCTCCCTTCTCTGCAGGGTACACCCAGCAGCTGGCCTTCAGACAACCCAGCTCAGCATTTGCAGCCTTCCAGAACCGGCCAGCCAGCACCTGGTGAGTCGCCACGGTCTGCTTGCCCATCCTGGGCTTGTACACCCCTGATCAGGGCCTGGATCCCGGCCTGTGGTGGTCTAGGGAGCCTCGCCCACACAGCCCTCTGCGACTGGATCCCTCCACCAGCAGAGTCAAGGCACCCGCTGGCTGAGTGACCTGCAATTATCAAGCGTTAATCACCCACTGCATGCAGTATTGGGTCGTGAGCCCTGGGAAGGGAAATCAGCCCTGCCCCTCTCTGCTCATTGGCTGCCTGGGATGTCCGTCTCTGGATCCCAGAGCCGATTGGCTCACGCTCTGTGCCCGCCTCCAGGCTGACAGCCTACGTGGTCAAGGTCTTCTCTATGGCCTCCAACCTCATCGCCATCGACTCCCAGGTCCTCTGCGGGGCTGTCAAATGGCTGATCCTGCAGAAGCAGAAGCCGGATGGAGTCTTCCAGGAGGATGGTCCCGTGATACATCAAGAAATGATTGTAAGAGGCAGGAATTCAGGGCAGGCTGGGGAAGAGGGGCACCTAAGCCTCACAGGATGGAGAGGATAAAGACTCCCCCATCTGCACACTGCCCAATTTGCTGTAGTGGGGGCGGGGGGACCAGGGAAATAAAGGAGCCAAGAGTGTCATTCCTCCTTTGCAAAAACCTGGTGAGTCCTGCAGAGTCCAATGCAAAATGAAAGTCCCTTGGTTCCCCATTGCCCTTAAAATAAACACAGACACAGAACTCTTTAGGCCTGTGGTTCTCAAAGTGTGGTCCCCAGGCCAGCAGTATCAGCATCCACCTGCAAACTTCTTAGAAATGCACCTTCTTGGGCTGGACTCCAGATGCACTGAATCAGAAACTTAAGGGGCGGGGCCTAGGAATCAGAATTTTAACAAGCCCACTGAGGTGATGCTGATGAGCGTGTAAGCTGGAGAACCCCTGCCTTAGCCTGCCTTTTCAGGCTTCCAGCCTCAGCCTTGCCCTCTGTCTCCACACTCCATCTGTACTGCTAGGAGCCTTGCTGTCTCCAGTCACAGGGCCTTTGCACATGCAGTTCCCACTGCCTGGCATGCTAACCCCTGCCCTCTTTGAGAGTTGACTCCTACTCACTCTTCAGATCGTGGCTCCATCTGTCATCTCTCAGGAACACCTTTCCTAAACTGCCCAACTGAGTCATATTCCAACTATCCCTTCTCACTGCCTCATCCACTTCTCCTGCACAGCACTCATCAGTTTGTAACTATATATCTGTTGGTAGGCTGGTTGGTTTGTGTCTGTCTACCCTATTAGACAGGGAGTTCTGTGAGGGCTGGGGCTGCTGCCTGTTTTTATCCACCATCGTATCCACAGCACCAGCGACATTTGCAGAATGAATGAATTCTAAAGAGTTTGGCCCTCCTGAAGAGACACTGGGGAGAGAACCAGCCTTGCTTTGACCTGCTGATCCCACAGGGGGGGTTGGTTGGCATGTGGGGATACACTGATGACCTTATTCTTGCTTCCTGCTTCCCACTCTAGGGTGGCTTCCGGAAAGCCGAGGAGAAAGAGGTGGCCCTCACAGCCTTTGTTCTCATCGCACTGCAAGAGGCTAAAGATATTTGCGAGGGACAGGTCAACGTAAGTGTTCCCCATCCTCTCCCTCCCTCCTCTCCCTTAACCAAGGCATTTCTACTTTGGAGGGTGAGGTGTTGCATTCAGGAGGTTTCCTGTCCTCCCCAGTACAATAACTGCCAGCACGTGGCCATGATAATGCCTAATATTTATTGGGTAATTAACACACTCATCTAAGAGCTTCACATATTTAAGTCTTGTAATCCTTCTAAAAGCCCAAGAAGTTGGCTACTCTTACTGTCCCCGGTTTACAGATGAGAAAACAAGACACAAAGAGATTAAAGATGGGGTCCTTTCTTCTTGCTTTACCATTTTTAGAGAGTTTTAGCCAAGTTTAACAAAAGCCCCTTCAGCCTGCTTTCCACATCACTCCTACATAATCAGTACATTTGTATATTTTCTGTTTCTCTAAAGAAAACCCAAGACACAGAGCTAAAAAAACATTGAGACTATTTCCTCAGCCTGGGGGATCTTTCAGGAGATTTTCAAATGGGTCCATGACCCTAAACAAGAAATGATTTAAAATGTTGCCTCATCACTGTCCCCTTTTCCTCTGGTTTTGGTTTTGAAGCAGAGAAGCTTAGAAAGATGGGCTCCTGAGAGTCTGTAATCGCTCCATCTGCTTTGTCCTGGGGTTTGAGAGGGGGTAGTTTGACCTTTAGCTTCCTGAGTGGGGAACTCCAGGATCCCACCTTCAACCAGCTGCTTCTCCCTCCTCAGGACCCCAGAAAAGAGATGGAGGGAAGGAGGCCAGTGAAGAGGGAAGCAAATACAGGGGCTGTTACCTTTAATGCCCAACAGGAACCTGGGCTTTTCTGGCTCAAACCTCGCAGATTTGAGACAAATTATCGTAGAAAAGAGACACGGCTACGGCTGTTGGGTCCAACATATCTCACTTCAAAGCCTGATTCTCAGGCCCTTCCCCCTGCTGGGTCTCAGTGTGTGCAACTGTAAAATGGATATGATAATCGTTGTATTTTTAAGGACTCTCTGAGTTGTCCTAGATGTAGCAAACATGTTACCTAGAATATGCAAAGATAGATGGGGGATTAAAGGACCCAAGAATTTATCAAGTGCAATGATGAAAGTGGCCTCATGGACTCTTCCAGAATATTCTGTTCTCTCCTGTGTCCTTCATTGCCTTTTGCCCAATAATTCAGTTTTCCATGTCACCCATCCTGCCTGGCAGGAGGTGACTGCATTCTTTGGGGAAATAGCCAGACCAAGGCTAGAGCTTTCAGATTCCCAGGAACGGATGCTGATTGGCTCAGCCTGGGTCAGGTGATCACCCCTGAACCAATCAGCTGAGACCAGGAAGTAGGTCTCATTGGGCAAATATGGCTGCTTCCACTCTGGCCATGTGAATGAAAGGGAGGAAAAAAAGTTCCTACAAAAGTCAAGGGTAGATGGAAGAGAGACAGCTGGGCAGGCAAAAGGATTAGATTCTACTGCAACATAGCAACATTATAATGGAGAATACCATAGGCTGTGGAATCAGACCGCTGGAGTTTAAATCAAGTGTGCTGGAACCAACTTGCAAAAGCCAATTGTTAAATTTCCAGGAATTTTGCAAGCTGGTTGTTAAACACAATCGTTATTAAAAATTAAATTGTTTGGGCCGCCCCGTGGTGTAGCAGTTAGGTGTGTGCACTCTGCTGCTGGCGGCCCGGGTTTGGATCCCAGGCATGCACCGACACACTGCTTGTCACGCCATGCTGTGGCGCCCTCCCACATAAAGTGGAGGAAGATCAGCCCGGATATTAGCTCAGGGCCAGTCTTCCTTGGCAAAAAAAGAGGAGGATTGGCGTGGATGTTAGCTCAGGTCTGATGTTCCTCACACACACACAAAAATAATAAAAAAAATAAAAATATAAAAATTAAATTGTTTACACTTACAGTTAAAGTAAACTGTAATCATTAAGCATTAAAAACAAAGATGATAAACACTTAAAATGCATCACTTCCTAATTATTTTACTATCTTTTATCATTATCTATGCTCATGTGGTTATTTATGTCTATTGTATCCGTATGGCGGAAATACTATATAATAATGTGCTACTGCCCGTCTCTTCCCAACTCTATATTCATGACGCTGCATTGGTAGGTTGAAATCAGCCATGGTGGTATTTATACCGTGGAAATGAGAAAACACTACAAAGGGTGTCTTCCTCTGCCCCTCATCTCTCTGGGTCTCAGTATGCTCATCTGTGCAGTAGCAGTGATGATGAAAAGAGTACTTACCTCATAGGATTTTATGATGTTAATGAGTAGATATATGACTGGCACATAGTAAGTGCTGGTGATGATGATGATGATGGTGATTGGATAAGAGGTGTTCCCAGTGGTGTGCTGGACCTGCTCATACTAGCTCACGAGTCCCTATTTAGGGCATCTCTTCCCCACTCCATGTTCAGGGAAGTCACTTTGATAGCTTGAAATTGGCCCTGGTAGGAGTATTTACACCACAGTAATTGGCAATCTATAACCATCCCCTCCACCACTGGAGAGCTGGTTGTTAAACATCTACCAGCACACTACTGGGTATATAGACTACCCCAGGCACATAGTAGGTACCCAGCAACAAGGCAGCACACAGTTCTTAAAACATCTGGGAAACCCTCAAAAAATAGGCAGATCCAAGACAGGTCCCAAGGACAGAAACCGTCCTGGTGCCTAGGAAGTAGTGCTTGTGTTATCCTTACCAGCTGTGTGTGGCAGCAATGCTCTCCTGACCAGAGTACCCCATCTTCTTTCTCACAGAGCCTGGAGCCCAGCATCATTAAGGCAGGAGACTTCATTGAAGCCCACTACAACAACTTGCAGAGACCATATACTGTGGCCATTGCTGGCTACGCCCTGGCCCAGTTAGGCAAGCTGGAAGGCCCTCTCCTCAACAAATTTCTGAGCACAGCCAAAGGTGAGGGGCAGCCTGGTGGGGTAAAGAGGAATGCACAGCTGGGGTTTGAGGGTGGCGATCTTGAGGTGGGATATGTGGTTCCAAGCTGAGCTGGGATGGATAGTGCTAAGCCAAGCTGGGATGGGTGGCTGTAGGGTGTGAAAAGTCCTCGTTGTAAGTCAAACAAGAAGATCTATTACATCATTCATTCAGCAAGTGTGTGTTGAGCACTTGCTGTGACACATGAGCCTGGACATGGGTTCTAACATCAGACAGACCCAAGTTCAAATCCCACTCTTCCACATTCTCACTTTGTGACCTTGCACAAATCACTCAACCTCTCTGGACCTCATCTTAAACTGATATTTACATCATAGGGTGGTTGTAAAGATTAAACAAGTAATGCAAGTAGGAGGCTCTAGCACACAGAAAAAGGTCTATCACTGATGTTATTATTGCCTTTAGTATTGTTAATAACATTATCATTATCTTAAGGGTAGTAGGATTAGATAAGATAATGCCATAGTGAATTTAACACAGTGCCTGTGACATACTGAACACTTAAACATTGGTTCCAGTGTTGATACTGTATCAGGTTTATGTTCATGTTGTAACATATCTGAATGTATACTGAAGAGGTTTAACGCAACAGAAGTTTGTCTCTTGCTGTGTAACAGCACAGTATGGGTGTTCCAAGTTGGTAGACCGCTCTCCTCCGTACAGTCATGCAGGTATCCAGGCTTCTATCTTTTCATGGCTCTGCCACCCTGGGGCCTCAGAATCCCTTTCATCCAGGCAGAAGGGGAAAGAGTCAGAAGGACTATGCAAGAGAGGTGGACCAGGCATGGATGTGGCTCCATCACTGCCCTGCACATTCCATTGACCAGAGCTCAGTCATGCAGCCATACATCCCTGCAAAGGCTTCTGGGAGATGTAGTCCAACTGTGTGCCCAGGAAGAGGAGGAAATGATTCTTAGTGACAGTCTCTACCATAGGTACTTTCCTAGGCACTTGGGGCATCATGGTGAATACAGCACACATCTGCCACCATGGACTCACACTCCGGTTAAGGAAAGAAGTGAGTTAATAGATTGCTATAGAGCATCATAGTGCTGGGATGGGAGAAGCAAAGGATGCTTTGAGAAACAGAAGGAAGGGCCTCACTCAGTCTTGGGGTGCCTTTGAAGTTGAATTGTGCAAGTTGAGTAATAATTAACCAGGAGTAGATGGAGAAAAACCAGTCCTGGTGGTCTACTGGTTAAAATTTGTCACTCTCACCGCCACTGCCCAGGTTTGTTCCTGAGCAGGAAAAGATACCACCCATCTGTTGGTTGTCATACTTGGCAGCTGCATGTTGGTGTGATGCTGAAAGCTATATGCCCGGTATTTCAAATACCAGCAAGGTCACCCATGGTGGACAGTTTTCAGCAGAGCTTCCAGACTAAGACTAGGAAGAAGGATCTGACCACCCAATTCTGAAAAATTGGCCGTGAAACCCCTAAGAATAGCAGCAGAGCATTGTCTGATATAGCACCAGAAGATGAGAGGATGGTGCAGAAAACCAGGCAGGATTCCTCTCTGCTGTCCACAGGGTCACTAGGAGTCGGAATCGACTCGATAGCACTAACGACAAAAATGGAGAAAAGGTGCTCCAAGTAGAGAGAACAGAATATGCAATGGCCCAAAGGTAAGAATGAGCGTGGAAAGTTTAGGGAATCTCCCATAGACCAGTGGGGCTGAAGTTCAGCATTCAAATGGAGGAGGGAAGAGAATGAAGCAGGAGCCAGCAGATTGAAGGCCTTGAATGTCAGCCAGGACACCTGAACACCAAGAAGTCTAGCATGACTGTTTCTCTGAGCATCTCCAGGACAGCGCAGTGAGCATGGGGATGGGGGTCTTCTCTGCAGACAAGAACCGCTGGGAGGAGCCTGGCCAGAAGCTCTACAATGTGGAGGCCACATCCTATGCCCTCTTGGCCCTGCTGAAGCTCAAAGACTTTGACTTTGTGCCTCCCGTCGTGCGCTGGCTCAACGAGCAGAGATACTACGGAGCCTCCTATGGCTCCACCCAGGCAAGTGACCCCACATCCTCCAGACACCTGCATACCTACCTCCTCTAGCCTCCGACTGGCCTGCTGGAGAAGACGCTGAGACCTAGAGAGGCAGTTCCATCCCATGAGCCAGGGTGATGGGAATGGAGTTGAGAAATCAGTTTTTTTTAGTTGTGCATCCCTCTATGGATTCTGGAATACATTCTGGATGTCCCAAGCTGGGTTCTGAGCCTCTCTTTCCCTCCAGGTGTCTAGATAATGTTCTCAGAGCCCAGGTTCAGGTGTGAGCCTCTGTCTCTCCTTGGAGGGTTCTAGACCAGGTTCTCAGTTCCACCAGGCTCCTCATCTTATCCTGTCTCACTGGTGGAATCTAGACTAGGTTCTCAGTTATTCAGGGCATTCTCTGAGCCTCTGTCTCACCTTGGTGGGTCCTAGACCCAGTTCTCATTTCCACCAGGCTCCCCATATTATGCTGTCTCACTGGAGGGTTCTAGACTAGGTTCTCAGTTATTCAGGGTATTCCCCAAGCCTCTGTCTCACCTTGGTAGCTTCTAGACTAGGTTCTCATTTCCACAAGGCTTCCTATCTTATCCTGTCTCACTGGTGGGACCTAGACTAGGTTCTCGGTTATTCAGGGCATTTTCCGAGCCTCTCTGTCCTCCTGGTGGGTTCTAGATGAGGTTCTCAGTTCCATCAGGCTCCCAGTGTTGCTTTGTATTACTGTGGGCTCAGACTTGTTTCTCAGTTATTCTGGGGCATTAAATCTTCTGTGTCTCCCTGGTGGGTTCCAGACCATGGTTTCAGGAACTTCAAGCTTCAGCAACCACAGGCTCTAGTTTGACCCCTTTCCTTGTGATAGGCTCTCAGTCACATTCTCGGTTCACTTTTGGATTCTAGATCATATGTTGAGAGTCCCCAGGCTCCAAATTTATTCGTTTTTCATGAGTGAGTTCTAGACACATTCTCAGTGCCTCCAAACCCTTGTCTTAGTCTCTTTCCCCTGAGGGGTCTAGACCACATTCTTAGTGTTGCTAGACCTTCAGTCTTACACATATGCTTTCTGGTGGATTCTAGACATATTTTCAGTGTCCCCAAGCCCTGGTCTGATCCTCTCACTCAGAGAGTTCTAGAACATGTCTCCAGTATCCAACAGCCCCCGTCTTATCCTCACCCTCTCTGCTGAGTTCTAGGCCACAGTCTCAGTGCCGCAGCTCTGATCTGAGCCTCCCCATTCCCCAGTGGGGTCTAACCACTTCCTCAGCCTCCCAGCTCACTCTTGTTCTCATGGGCTCTAGGCCACCTTCATGGTGTTCCAAGCTTTGGCCCAATACCAGAGGGATGTCCCTGACCACAAGGACCTGAACCTGGATGTTTCCATCAACCTGCCCAGCCGCAGTGCCGTGGTCAAGCACCGCATCCACTGGGAATCCGCTAGCCTCCTGCGGTCAGAAGAGGTACAGCCGCCTGTCCAAACCTTCCTTGCTGTAACCCTCCACACCAGCCAGGGTTCACTAGGAGGTGGGAGAGAGGGCAGATGACCATCACAGCCAGGGGAAGACTTGGTTCCCATCACCCTCTCTTCTCTCTCCCTACTCCCTGCAGACCAAGGAAAATGAGAAATTCACATTAACAGCTAAAGGGAAAGGACAAGGCACCTTGTCGGTAAGAAAGAGGAACCCACACCTGCTTGGCCCCAGAGGGGCTTTCTCCTTCCCAAGTCAAGTGGACTGACACGTCGTCTTCCCTCCTGTCTTGCCAGGTAGTGACAGTGTACTATGCAAAGGTCAAAGGCAAGGTCACCTGCAAGAAGTTCGACCTCAGGGTTAAGATCCGACCAGCCCCTAAAACAGGTAAAAGGAATAAAGACCTTGTCTGTCACCTTTCTCCCACCCCCATTCTAATGTCTGCCCCACTCCTGAATCAGGTCCCGGGGATCCCCCTCATCCTTCTGTCTTCTGTATTTCTAGTCAAGAGGCCGCAGGATGCCAAGAGCACCATGGTCCTTGACATCTGTGCCAGGTAAGAGATGGGTCACTGGGGTTCATTTTGGCCATCCCTCTGTCTCTAGCAAGACCTCTTACTAATAATACCCATGGTAACTAATACTTTCCGGGATTGTGTTGTGCATCTGGTACTGTCCTAAGTACCTGCCAGGAGGTAGATAGCATGGGCAGTCCTCACTTTGCATGGCATTGTGAGACTAGCAATGACCACGTAAGCTGAGACTGTGCAAAGCAATCAATAATCAATGGGGGAGATTACCATTGTTCTATGACCTTTACAATTTTTTATCACGCATCAAAAACTCTCATACTGACAGTTATAAAGGTATAGAGAAATAAGAAGCATAGTAAGACGAGAATTTGTTGAGCACACTGTAATTTCAAACGTTAGACCATTGAGATTAAATCTAGTTTTATTTTTTTCCTTTGTAAGACACTTAGCCAAAGCACTGAGGTTTGGACAATGCCTTTTTTCTTCTCTTTGTATAACTTATGATATGGAGCAACCATCTTTTCTACGCCATAGTGAATTGTCAGCTTCCCTTCTAAGTTTGGGTCAACGTCCAACGTTTTATCCTTTGAGCTTTCAGTGTCATGATATATCTCTGAGAGTTCCTTTACTGTGAAGGTTCTCACTGGCTTCCCTTCCCCTGGGACATCTTCGTCTTTTTGTCACAATCACTTTCCTCATTTATGTCAAAGTGACAGAATATAATCTCACATAGTGACGTATATAAGATGTCCTTCACTAAGTTCCTCTGGACGCATATCTAGTCTCTCGAATGGCAGCAGGGTCAACATTCCCTCCATCTGATATTTCTTCTGTAACTCCATTTACGTTCTATTCGGATTTTACTTCAAGTATTATCGCTCTTCATTTCTTCTGCGAGCTGTACTCCCATCTCTGTTGGCCAATTCCCTCTTCAATTATCCAATTTTGTAAAGTGTCACGTGGGTTTATCACTGGGAGATAAGGAAACAACACAACTACTCACTTTGCTGTCTATTTGTGAACTGAATAATGGATGCTCAGTGACCCGTCACCTACAGATTTGAAATGAAGTAATGTGATTGGTCATTGATTGTGATGTACATCTGTTATTATGTAGTGATTGGTGGACTGAGAACTAGCAACAAGATTGGTACTTTCTGCAATTACACATGATTAATATCTGCATATTAATTTGTATATATTATTACTATATGTATATATTAATATTAATATACAAATTTCAGTGGTACTGAAATTTGAACCGTGTTGCTGGGGGACTGGTGTTATTGAACTAGATGATGAACTAGATGATGGACTTAAAAAGCAAAATTGCCTGTTATTTTATCTCAAAATAAGTTTATTCAGGAAAAGCCAAAATAATTGCAATTTGGGATATGCATGCTATGGCAAACCATAGGCAAATCTAACAAACAAAGAAGGGGAGCTGTGTTTATAGAGAGGGGGAGTAGGGAGGGGCTGTTCTAGATGAAAGTCCATTGCAAGAAAGTAACAGTTCAGGGCAGCAATGGCTTCTCATTGGCTAAGCTGCGGCTTTTCTCATTGGATGGGCTATTACCAGGTGGGGAGAGAAATCTTCCTTCAGTAGTAAAGTAATTTTACTTCCTGTCGAAGAGTCAAGAGGGTGTCTCTTCCTGTTTGGTGTAATTGACAATATGTGTTAGGATGTGAGAGTTCCCCTACAGGCCTCCTGAATTAATTAAGATTTCTTTAATTAATTTCCACACAAAGGAATTATGCAAAATGAGACCTGACTATATTCTTGTCCTCATTTTCTAGAAGATCTGAGGCATGGAGAAGTCAAGTAACTCATCAAATGTTACACAGAGCTGGAATTTGAACCCATACAATTGGGTTCCAGGGCCTGAGCAATTAGTCACCTTAACCGTTATGCTACCTTTCCTTTACTCTCCTTGGGGGAGTGTTTCCTAAGTCTAACATCCCTCTATGATTCTAAGTGGAAACCAGAAGCTTCAGCCCCCATCAGACCTCCTTGTCCAGGCACTAACCCCTGGGGCTGAGCCCACTCTGGGACTCAACCCCTCTCTCCCTGCCCCGTCTAGGTACCTGGGAAACGAGGATGCCACTATGTCGATCCTGGATATATCCATGATGACTGGCTTCGCTCCTGACACTTGTGACCTCAAACTGGTATGAAGGTCTTGGGCTCGGGAGCTGGGATCAGTGGAAAGGAGCCTGGGGTCTGGAAGAGGCTGGAGGGAGGGAGGGGGATCCAGGAGGGATTTTTCACAAGCCCCATCCTTCCCTAGCTGAGCACTGGTGTGGACAGATATATCTCTAAGTATGAGTTGAACAAGGCCTTCTCCAACAGGAACACCCTCATCATCTACCTGGACAAGGTAAGGCTTCCACTGGGATCTTGACCCCTACCTGGCTGGCCTTCCCTTCTCCATTGGCCTTTATCTGTGGGTCAGGCCAGCCCCAAGCTAGAGGACAGGATCAGTGCTGCTGGGTGGTAGAGGAAGGAGCATATAAAACAAGGTGGTCTACCTAGTCAACGAAGTGGTCAACCCAGGTCAACAAAATGGTCAACCCAGGTCAACGATGTGGTCAACCCAGGTCAAGGAGGTGGTCAACCCAGGTTAACACACCTTCTATGAGCTTCTCACCTTCTGACCACTGATGTTCTAACCTCATTTAGCACTTCCTTCATCCAACTTATTCTCATCACAGTCTTAACCAACCACTGAAAAAGAGCCACTTTCATTAAAAAAAAAAAAGGAGAGAGAAAGGAAAGAAAAAGCGCTTACTGGAGAACAGAAGCTCCTCTTGCTCCCCAGCCCTAGTTTTTCTCTCTTCTCTTATTTTCTTTCCATCTGGCTTTCTCTGGTGCTCTTCATCTCTGACATGATTTGGGCTTCCTCCTCTCTTCTGCTTATTTGTTCCCCTTCTCCTATCCTCATATCCCCCCTGCTAACTCCTAATACCCCTAGTGCCCGTATTAGTCAGCATAATAACACTAGCTACTATAATAAAAACCCTAAGAGTATGGGTGTCTCAACACAAGAGACTTGTATTTCTCACTCAAGTAAAGTCCAATTGGTATGAGAGGTAAGGAAGCGGACTTCTGCTCCCTGAAGTCACTCAGGGATCCGTGTACTTTCTACATCTTGTGGCTCTACAATCCCTAGGACCTTGGAGTCCTCTGCTGGATCCATTATTTCCACAAGAAAAGATAATTGTGCATGATAGGACTTTTTATTAATTTTTTTGTATTTTAATTTTTGTTCTTTTTAATTTTTATATAATTTCAACCTTACAGAGAAATTGCAGGGCAGTATAAAGAAGTTTCATATACCCTTTACCCAAATTCACTAATTGATAGCATCTTCCTCCAAATATACATGTCTATCACATACACATACATATATGTTTCTTTCTTCTTTCTTTCCTTTCTTTCTTTCTCTCTTTCTTTCTTTCTTCCTTCCTTTCTCTTTATTTTTTTTCCAGCTTTATTGAGATATAACTGACATTTCACATTGTGTAAGTTTAAGGTGTACAACATAATGATTTGATATATGTCTATCTTGGGAAATGATCATGACAATAAGGTTAGTTAACACATCCATCATCTCGCATAGTTATAATGTGTGTCTGTGTGTGTGTGTGTGTGTGTGTGTGGTGGGAACTTTCAAGATCTACTCTCTTAGCAACTTTCAAATATACAATGCAGTATTGTTATCCACGGGATGATTTTATGGGCATAGATAGCAATCCATTGGCCAGAACTCAATTGCCTGGCCACACCGAACTGAAAAGGAGGTTGAGCAGAGTAATCTAGCCATAAGCGTTGGAGAAAAAGAAAATGGATTTGTTGAACTGCTCGTTAATCTTTTGGCAAAGATTCCTGCCACCACCCTCCCCACCCATTTCCCTCCTTGATCCCTCAGTTTGTCGCCCACTGCTCCAACCCCCATATCTACCCTATTTGGACTCCCTCCCATGTTGCTCCCACTGACCAACCTCCTCCTTCCCCCCAGATCTCCCACAGCCAGGAGGACTGTCTGTCCTTCAGAGTTCACCAGTACTTTAATGTGGGGCTTATCCAGCCTGGGGTGGTCAAGGTGTACTCGTATTACAACCTGGGTGAGCAGCCAACATAGGGCCCGGGGTCCAGGGGTCCCAGAGATTGGTGAGTTGGGGGCCTGGGGGTCCCAGGGATATCTGAGTTGGGGGTCTGTGGGTCCCAGGGTTGGGGACCTGGCATCTCCAGGTTTGAGGGACTGGACTTGGGAATCTGAGCCCCACAGCTGTGGTCTCTGGGGTCCTAGCTCTCTGACCCCTCCCCACCACCTCTGCCCACAGATGAGAGTTGCACCCGGTTCTACCACCCAGAGAAGGAGGACGGAATGCTGAGCAAACTCTGCCAAAAGGACATGTGCCGTTGTGCTGAGGGTGGGTGCACAGGAGCCAGGAAGGGGTGAACCATGCCCACCAGATCCCCCACCTCCACTGGGGTGACCCAAGGGGCCCCGAAAGCCCACACCCAGTGGACACTAAGAGGGATGGCCCTGGGGCTGGCCACACCCATGGGTGGTGGGCCCTGGACAAGAAGTGGGACTTAGACTATGTTCCCCACTCACCCACTCTGCAGAGAGCTGCTTCATGCACCAGGAGGATGAGAAGGTCACCCTGGATGACCGGCTGGACAAGGCCTGTGAGCCAGGAGTGGACTATGGTGAGTGAAAGGTGCAGGACACATGCATGTGTGATGGTGTGTGAGCAACAGTGTCCATGGCTGTGCTTGTGTGTCAGACTGTGTGATGGCAGGTGTGGTCGTGGTTCTGTGTCTGACTGGCTGTGAGTGTCCATGGCTGTGTGTGGCTGTGCTTCAGGCTGTGGTTGTTGCAACTGGTGTGTGTGTATGAATGTGTTGTGAGGGGCCATGATCACATGGGGAACCATGGTTATGAAAGGACTGAGTATGTGCGAGTGTGTGAGAAGGTGGTTATGAGTGGATGTGGTTGTGTGCCTGGTTGTGTGTGTGACTGTGAGGTTGTAGTTGTGGTTATCCATGATTGTGTGAGATGGTGGTTGCAGGTGACAGTGGATGTGAGTAGTTGTTATGTATATGACTATAGTCATGGGTAGCTGTAATTGTGTTCATGGCGATTGTGTTGGTGTGTGTGACTGTAAAGTTGCAGTTGTGCATAGCCATGGTTGTGTGAGATTGTTGATAGGAGTCACTGTAGTAATGCATATGGCTATAGTTGTTGGCAGCTGTACCTGTGTGCATGGTTGTGTGTGTGACTGTGAAACTGTAGTTGTGCATAGCCATGGTTGAGATGGTGGTTGTGGGTTACGGTGGATATGATTAGCTGTCATTGCATATATGACTGTCATTGTGGGTGGCTGTAATTGCATGTGTGGTTGTTGTGTGACTTTGAGGTTAGAGTTATGTATAGCCATGATTGGGTGTGTGTGTGATTTTCACACTGTAGATGTGTATTGCTATGGTTGTATGAGACAGTGGTTGTGGGTGACAGTGGATATGAGTAGCTGTGGTTGTGTATATGAGTGTACTTGTGAGTGGCTGTAGTTGTGTGCATGGTTGTGTGTGAGACTGTACTTGTGCGTAGTCATGGTCATATGAGACAGCAATTGTAGGTGACAGTGGATAGGATTAGCTGTCATTGTGTTTATGACTGCAGTTGTGGGTGGCTGTAATTCTGTTCATGGCTATGTGTGTGACTGTGAGGTTGTACGTGTACATAGCCACAGTTGTGTGAGATTGTGGGTAGGAGTAGCTGTAGTAATGCATATGACTGTAGTTATGGGTGGCTATGTGTGAGACTGTAGTTGTACACAGTCATCGTTATATGAGATGGTGATTGTGGGTGACAGTAGATAGGAGTAGCTTTTGTGTACATGACTGTAGTTGTGGGTGGCTATAATTGAGTGCATGGTTATGTGTGTGACTGAGACTATAATTGTGCATAGCCATGGCTGTATGACACTGGCTGTTGATGACTGAATATGAGTAGCTCTTAGGTATATGGCTGTACATGTTGGTGGCTGTAATTATGTGCATGGCTGTGAGTGTGACTGTGTGTCAGATGGTTGCTGTGAGTGACTGTGATTGCATGTGACTGTCTGTGGCTGTGTAGGACATGGTGGTTGCAGGTGACAGTGGATACGAGTAGCTGTCCTTGTGTACATGACTACTGTGGGCAGCTGTAATTGTGTGCACGGCTGTGAGTATGACTGTGTAAGAGGTGGTTGTATGACTGTATATGGCTGTGTGTGTTACTGGGGGGACTGTAGCATGACTGGCTGTGATCCTGCATGTATCTACCTGGGGGGAACCATATGCCCAGGTATGCTTGCAGGTGAGGGTGCCCCAGGGGTCAGCCCTGCCCCAGACCCACACTGTCCTCCTTCCCCCCACAGTGTACAAGACCAAGCTTCTCAAGAAGGAGCTGTCGGATGACTTTGATGATTACATAATGGTCATTGAGCAGATCATCAAATCAGGTCAGTCCTGTGCTCTGTCTTCTGTCTTTCTGCCTCCCCCCCCCCAATTTTCCTCCTTCCCACCAGCTCAGCTTCCCTCTCCGTCCCCTCCAGGCTCCGATGAGGTGCAGGTTGGACAGCAGCGCAGGTTCATCAGCCACATCAAGTGCAGAGAAGCCCTGAAGCTGGAGGAGAAGAAACGCTACCTCATATGGGGCATCTCCTCTGACCTGTGGGGAGAGAAACCCAAGTGAGTGCCGGCCCTGTGCATACATGTGGTAGCCCCCTCCTGCCCTCCCCCTGCCCCCTCCTGACCTGCCGTCCCTTCCCCCAGCATCAGCTACATCATCGGGAAGGACACCTGGGTGGAGCTGTGGCCTGAGGCCGACGAATGCCAAGACGAGGAGAACCAGAAACAGTGCCAGGACCTGGCCAACTTCACCGAGAACTTGGTCGTCTTTGGCTGCCCCAACTGAGCCCCCCATCATCGTCCCCCCAATAAAGCTTCAGTTATTTTTCACACCTCTCCCAAAGTCTGGGGGTCTTTGAGAGAGGGAAAGAGGCAGCTGGGGATCACACTCACCTGCAGCTCAGCTCCATCCTACCTGAACTGCGCTTGAGGCCCACTTCAGTCTCTCCTGTCATTCACCTGCAAGTTTGCTGGCTTCCTCACCCAAAGAGCATGTGCCGGCCTTACTGCACCTAGCCTGAAGTGCACCTGCAGCTTCCTCTGCATCTCACCTGTGCCTCAGCTCCATCTTTCCCTGAATTCTCATCTGCGTCCTCACCAGCAGCTCACTGCCCCTTCACCTGAGTTCTCACCTACTTGCCTACCTGCCTCCTTACTGCATCCTAATCTGAATTCTTACCAGTATTCTCACCTGAAGCTTTACCTGCTCTCTCACCTGCACCCTAGACTGTATCCTCTTACATTTTTTTGCATCCTCACCTGGCCCCCAACCTACATCTTTAACTGTAAACTTAGCTGTATCTTTACCAACATTTTTACCTGTGTTCTCACCTGTCTTTCCATCTGCATCCTCACTTGTATTTTGTCTGCATCCTCATCTGGATCCTCACCTGCATCTTTACCCTCTTCCTCACCTGTTCTCATCTTCCTCCCTTATCTACAGCTCTCACTCCATTTCCTATCTCATCTGCATTCCATTCACCCTCCTCCAGGCTCGCCCCACCCTCCTGGTCACCACTTCCTACATTGACCTGTGAGACTCAATGCTTCTGTAGGATCCTGTGGGGCATCTGTGCTCGGGAGGGGGCGGTAAGAGGCAGGCAAGATGATATTTCCTGCTGGAGGCCCAAGTGAGCAAGCGAGGGGAAGGCATGAGTCAGTAGTTGAAGAGGGAGTGCGGGGGCTGTTGCGGTCACAGCATCAACATAACTGTGTGGGGAGTGGTGGCAGCCACAGGCAAGGGGAGCCACTGGCTGCCAAGGGGTACTGGGGCCCCATGTGCATCTTCTGCCTCCATGTCTAGTCCCTTGAGGACTGTTGAGGGTGGGATCCAGGCTCCTAGCTCTGGATCAGGTCATCCTGTGAAAACACCCTGAGCCTAGAAGTCACTCCTGCACAGCCCCCTTCCCCTAAGACTTCCAGGTCCTGGAAACTCCCACCTCCCAAATCCAGGAATATGGGGGAAATAGAGTCACAGCCCAACCCCACTCCCTCCAGCCCCTGATTGCCAGAGACCCCTGTCTAGGGGAGACTCAACTAGACTCATCTCTCACAGGTGTCCCAGGTGACATCTGCCAGGCTCCCTGCCCTCCTCTATGTCCATCATCTCATTTCTTTTCTTGCTTACTCCTTTCTCCTGCCATGGGACTCATTTTCTTCATTTCTTTCACACATGCAGTGTTGTTTTATTTGAGCACCTATGGTTCTAGGCTGTGAACAGCATGGACAGGATCTTATGAAACTTATGTTCCAAAGACAGCATGGAGTTGATTTCAGACAGTAAGGATTTCCAAAAAAGAATGGAGAACATGATGCCAAGCAATGGACTCATTCTGCTTGCCACAATATGAGCCAATTAATCACAAAGAGTTAAGGATCAAGAAAAGAAGTTTTAATTTGATTAGCCAGCATAATTGGGAAGATGGCAGATTAATGTCTCAAAAAGACCATCGTCAAGGATTACAGAATCTTGAGGCAGTTATACTGGGAAAATGGGCAGTGAGAAGGGGGTCTAGCGATGTTGGTCTCCAGGCATGATGGGCTCCAGGCATCACATTGTTCCATTCTTCTGTCAGCTGTGATGGATACCTTGTAGGTGTGTCTCCCGCCTGTGGTCAGCCTGTCCCTGGAGAGAAACTCATAGAACAAAGTTTTAATTTATCAAGCTATTGGGGAGTACATATGTAAGTGGAAGCCATAAATCAGAAGAGCATGGGAATTTTTTTAGAGTATGTGCAGAGCAGTGAGTAGTCACACAGAGGACGGGCCAGGGCCATTTATTGTAACAAGATGGCCCCACTTATGTTCACTTACAAAGTGAGTGAACACTTTGGCACTCTCCTGGGGCAGTGTGAGAAGGCTTACCTGCAGTGGTGCCACCAGTAAAGGTCATTTAGATTGAGTGATGGTTCATCTCATGTATCAACTTAGTTAGGCTATGGTGACCAGTTGTTTGGAAAAACACCAGTCTAAATGTTGCTATGAAGGTATGTTCTTAGATGTGATTCACACTTATATTCAGTTGACTTTAAAAGCAGATTATCCTTGGGCCGGCCCCGTGGCTTAGCGGTTAGGTGCGCGCGCTCCGCTGCTGGCGGCCCGGGTTCGGATCCCGGGCGTGCACCGACGCACCGCTTCTCCGGCCATGCTGAGGCCATGTCCCACATACAGCGACTGGAAGGATGTGCAGCTATGACATACAACTATCTGCTGGGGCTTTGGGGGGAATAAATAAATAAATAAAATCTTTAAAAAAAAAAAGCAGATTATCCTTAATAATGTGGGTGGACCTCATCCAATCAGTTAAAGGGCTGAAGAGAAAAAATTAAATTTGTCGAGGAAGAAGGAATTCAAGAAGGCAGCATAGAAATTCTGCCTGAGTTTCCATCCTTCAGACTCAAGACTGCAGCATCAACTCTTAACTGAATCTCTAGCCTACTGGCTTGTCCTACAACTTTGGATGTCCAAAACAGCACAATTGCATGAGTCAATTCCCTAAAATAAATATCTGTATGTGTATGTTTGTGTGTCTCTGTCTCATTCTCTATCTTTGGATAGATAGATAGATAGATAGATAGATAGATAGATAGATAGATAGATAGATAGATAGACATGATGGATGGTTGGATGGATGGATGGATGGATGGATGGATGGATGGATGGATGGAGATATATTATTTGTTCTGTCATATTATTTGTTCTGTCTCTCTGACAAACCCTGCTTAATACAAGTAGTCACGGGAGGCTCCTGTGAGGAGGGGGCTTCTTGAGTCAAGACGTAGATGACAAGGAGGAGCCAGTCATGGGGGATCTGAGAAAGACTGTTCCAGGCAGAGACAACAGTAAATGCAAAGGCTCCAAGACGCCAGAGGCAAAGTGAGCAAGATCGTAAGGGCTTCAAGATAGTGAAGACCAATTAGTGTCTATTCTAAGTTCAGAGGACAGCAAACTTTTTCTACAAAGGGCCAGACAGCAAATATTTTAGACTTTGAGGGCCAAGAGGTAAAATCAAGGATATTATGAAGGTACTTATAAAACAAGGGAGGAAACGTCTACCCTGCCATGCCCTGTTCTTTTGGGATGGGCCATCCGGGGAGGTGGGCATGCTTTGCTCCTGACTGTTAGAGACATTCTCTGGATGAAGAGAGCTACCTATCTGAGCCTTGGCGGTCCAGGCAGGTGGAGGGGGTGAAGGGTGACCCCCAAGGCCAATTTCTCTGTCTGCTCCAGGGATACCCAGCACCCGGTCAAACTCCCTTTCGCTGTCTCACCTGGATAGCTGGCCAGAGGAGAAGGGACATGCTGAGTCACCAACCCCCAGAGTGAGATTCATCCATTCAGTGCCCAGCAGTTACCAACAGAGGAGACCCCAACATGTACATGTGGTGGCCATCGTGAGTAGCATAGGCTGTGGACAATGGTGAAGTATTGGCTGCCAGCCAGAGATGCGGGCACTGGGAGCAGAGTGGGGAACAGGAGGCAGAAGAGGATGCCCCAGCTGATCTCATAAGGTCATTAAAGTCCTCCCACTCCTGCCCCACCCTTTCTTCTTTCCTTTCAACCATTCCTTAAAGAGCCAAGACATAAAACTCCAACCCAAGAAGTCCTTCTTCCACCCCATTGCAGGGAGAACCTGAGGTCACCCTGCTCTTGTGGGCCAGCCAGGCTCCAGACGTCTACACTCCTCCCACTAATGGTCTGGTCCTTCTGGCCACAGGGCTAATGGGAGGACCTTGATCCTGTCAAGAATGCACCTCTGCCAAGGCCAAGTCCGTTAGGGGCCCAAGCACATCGTGCCTCCCCCCCAAGTCTGACCCAGGAAACTGAGGGTGGGCCGTCCTTGGGGTGCCGGGTCCAGGCCTTTCTCTGGCTCCCGTCCAGTGGGCACTTGCGCCTGTCTATTATCCAGTCACTCCCATTAAGGCCCAATCAGGTTTAGTTGTCTGTGTGGGTCTTGGAAGTCTGCCACCTCTCATAAAAGTCTATTCACAACTTGTTAATCTCCTGAGGCACTGGGTGAAAGGGCAGAGGTCCCAGCAGCTCCCACCATCACCCTCTCTCGCCTTTGGTACTTTCTCTGTGACTACAGAAGTGGCAGACACCCTGCTGGGGCTGGGGGCTCCAGGTTCCCGAGGATGAGTTAGGCTCTGAGCCCCAAGGTTCCCACTACACAGACTGGGGAGCCCAGGAAGACAGCTTCCTGGAGCCCACAATGGGACAGATGGCTCTGTGGGGACCTGACCCCACCTGCTGGTGGCTTCTGAGCTAGAAAACCTCAAGGTGCAAAGTGTGCTCCACAGGTTGGGGAATCAGATCCAGTCTGGGGCTCAGCCTGGGATTAGGGTCTCAACCCTGGTCTCCAACTCAAACTGGAATTTGGATTCATCCCAGGTCAGCACCGTAGTTCAGGTGTGTAAACTTAAAAAGCAAATTTGCCTGTTATTTTTTCTCAAAATGAGTTTATTCAGGAATAACCAAAAGAATTGCAATTCAGGACATGCATGCTGTGGCAAACCATGGGCAAATCCAGAGAAGAAAGGAAGGGAGCTGCTTTTATAGAGAAAAGGAGGAGTAGGGAGGGGCTGTTCTAAAGAAAGTCCATTAGGAGGAAGTATTAATTCAGGGCAGCAATGGCTTCTCATTGGCTGAGCTGTAGCATCTCTCATTAGCTGAGCTGCAGCACTTCTCATTGGCTGGACAGTTGCCAGGTGGAGGAGAAATCTTCCTTCAGTAATAAATTAGTTTTACTTCCGGCCCAAATGCAAGCTTATGTCTCCTCCAGTCTGGTGTAATTGATGTGTGATAAAGATCCCCTTACAGGACTTCCCGAC